GGATATGTTTCGTTAGGATTGAAGTTCTTATATGCTAACGCGTAACGAATCATTGATGCATTCGATGATAAAGAAAGATTATGAAGCATGTCAATTTTATAAAAAATGTTTCTTCGATAATTTTATCAATTGGGTCAATCATAATTTCAACATCTTTATTGCAATAATGAATAAAATATTCTAATCTATTCTTAAAGTTTTTAGCATCATTGAGATATATTTGATAATCTGAATCGGATATTGTTTCTTGTGTTAATGCTGAATAAAATGAATCTTGAGTGAATGGTTCCTTTATATAATTCATCTTCGTAATTCTCCCATGTGATGAATTGATAAGGGAAAAAGGATTTAACACGTGATTTATTGTTTCCGAAATCTTGAGTGAATTGGTCTAATGTTCCACCCGCTATATAATTTCTGATGTCAATAAATCTCAATTCATATGGAACGTTTGTTTTCTTTACTATGACTTGCTTAAATTGAGAAGAAGAACCCAGCATTGATTTTATCTTCCATTTTGCAGTATTTAAATCACGAAGAATTAAATTTAAATCAAACTTTCCCGAATTAAAACCTATGATATTCACTTTATTAAATTCTTCATCTAAAAGCTCTTTCATTGCTTCCTTTTGTTTCTCATTTAATGTATTCATTAATTCTTCATATTGTTCAATATTTGATTTAGCAACTAATGAACAGGTTGAAAATAAAAATTCAATCCAATCAGAGATGAACGAATCACTTGATGTTAAGCAAAAATTCCTCGTAAATGTTTTATCACGGTCTACGTCCTCGCCGCTTTGCGGCTTTATTTTGACAGTTGATGATACCATGAATGGTTTTAAGTAAGCGTTCAAAGTTGCACATTCAGAAAGTTGAAGTTCTTCTTTAGTCTCTAATGTTTCGAAGTCAAAAGTAATATAATATCTTGTTGGTTTATAATACCTGCAAATTATGTGCTAATAGCCATTGATATATCTTCTGTTTCGTGATATGTGGTGCATATGGTTGTTGTGTGTTTTGCAATTGAACGTCTTGAATTAATCTTCCATTATTTTCTTTACATTTCTCACAATGTTTTAAAAATCTTCTTTGGTTTTTCCTTTCTGGATCATCACGGATAGAATATACTTCTTCTTTGCAAAAGGGGCAAACTTTATATCCTGTGAGTGCTTCAACGTCTGTAATTCTGTCAGCGTGAAGTTTTCCACATGGACTCTGTGTTAATAAAATATTTACTGTTTCAAATTCTGGATCTATCATTATTGATTCCACTAATGGAAAGTCTACCTTGTTAATGTCTACGTCTTCTGGTTGAGGATCACAATAATAGAAATCAATATTAACATTTAACATTCTCGCTAATCTCTCACTTTCTGATGAAATGTCAAACCCTTCATATGCATCTATTGCTTCATTTAAATAGCTTCTACGAGTTTTAGGATTAACACCATCAGGAATGTTATAGAAGCGTTTAAATAACCTTCTACCTTCGGCTCTTATTTGATTATCATTCATTTTAGCTGTTCCGTTTTTGTTCATTTATGTAAGAATAAAAAAAATTAAAAAATAAAGTTTATTCTTTAAAGCCCATAAAATGAATTAAGAACACATAAATTTTTATCATCCGCGACGTGACGAATACATTTTAATTTACTCAAGAATGCGTACCCTGATACATTAAATCTAATTCCTGTCTTATTTAATTTCACAACTTTGAAAAGGAATGTATGAATAGCTATAAAATGATGAGATGATGTTTTATGGGTTGCTTCCATTTTTTCTGAAATAAATGAATAAATATAATGTTTATAAGTTTTCATATCTTTTATGTTCTTAATAACGAATGGTATAGACCTTTCAACTTCGTCTTCCTTCGGTGCTGTTCTTTCATATGAAACATTATTGGTATCTTCAATAATGAAACCACAATCACATAAAATTTTATAGGTTCCAATTGTTTCTTTTGATATTTTATCTAACAAATCAAAAACTTTATCAACACCTGTACATTTATTTAAATAATAATTTGTGTAAATATCATGGTCTTCTTTCTTAATCGTATTTGTTGCATATGTTACATTTTTCAGTGCTTTTTTGAATTTTTCAGAATCAAGAGGAGGTGAAAGTAATATACATGGATAATCTCCATCGTCAATAAATTGTAACTTATGTTTATGAATAAATTTAATACCTTCTTCCGAAAGTGTTTCATCTATTTCACCATCTAATAAATTTTGTGTTGATTCTAAGACATAATTTTTATATCTTTCTTCATGAGATTTCTGAACTTCTGATTCTGAAGCTGGGATATTCATTAAACCCTCTACTTCATTTTCATTATATTTTTCAACTTCTCTTAATTCCTTAATTCTTTCATCTATTTCATTTCTTAATTGTTCCAATTTCTCAATCTCATCGTTATAATATTCATCTTGTTTAATTTTTTCTTCAAAATATTCAGGAGGTGTTTCGAGGCTCTCTGAGCCCAGGTCCTCTGGACCATAAAGAGGAATATTCTCCTGTTTTTCAACTTTTTTGGGATATAAATATCTCATTATAGCCTTTTTAGTAATTGGTCCGTTATATTTAAATTCATTCAACAATCTGGAAAACTCTTTCACATTCTGCATATATGTTGGATAAGAACCGTCTCCAAAATTTTCTAAAATATTTTCTAATTCTGAATTAGTGAACTTTAAAGATTTCAATGAATTAGTTGTTATACTCATTTATTATAAAATAAAAAAATAAATTTAACTTAGTTTTAATTTTACGTAAGAAGTCAATTTTTTATCTTTTATTTCATTATGGGCTGAGTGTAAATGTCTTACAATTTTGAAAATTTTTAAATCTTAATTTATTCAAAAACGTAAGAATAAAAACCGTAAGAATCATACATTTTTTACTTCATATGTTAAAAAAAATGATACAAAATCGTTCAATATTGTATGAATTCTTACGTTTACAAAAAAAGTCACACAACCCGTCCACATATACTACTCCTCTAATTCTTTATTCATTTTGAATGATGAATGAGATATATTATTACTATCGCTAGATTTAGAATTTTTTAATTTAGTTTGTTCGTTTTGAAGTGATTGAACAGTTTTATTTAGTTTATCAAATTCTGATTTAATAATTTTATGTTGATCAACTATGTTTTTAAAGAAATGTGATAGTTTTGTAAAAAGTGTGGTTGATAATATTGATGAAAGTGAATCCAAAAAAAGAAATACTTTATCAATATCTTCACCAAATTCAAAATCCGAGATATTAAGCAATGATTCGACTGTTTCCATGCAATTATGATGTAACTTATAACGAATAATAAATTTTTCTGCATTTTCAATATTGATTGTTGTAAACTTTAACATTTTTATGATATCATTATGCGGAACTTCTGTATACAAGACCTCGTCATCAATGTATTCTTCAAAATGCTTTCCATATTCATTATAATCGATGGAATCGCTCATATATCTTAATAACGATTCTTTTTAATTCAAATAATCTAAATTTATAAATTCTATAGCGCATTAGGTAGAAAATTCTGAACCAGACTTAAATTTTATTGTTGCAATGGAGCATCCTAGCACATAGCTCTTTACCATAAATGTCTATCTCTAGGATTCCTCAATTTATCTTTGAGTTCAATATTTCAATTTTCAATATTTCAATTATTCTTGCCGCCTCCACATTAACGAAATCGCTAATTACAATCAATCCATCAAATATTGATATATATTATTGCTTTTTAATATGAAATATTTCATAAAATGTCAATAAATCAGCTATATCAAAGATTAATATATAAATAAACTATTTGTCTACCTTTTTTTGATTATTTGCTCATTACATGAATGTTTTTTAGGCTTTGATTCTTTTATAAAATTTTAAAATCTCTTTATTTTTTTGAACTACACTTCTCATTTGTAATCTCTTATTTCATGAATTTAAAAAAATTCGATTGATATATTTCCTTTCATTAGGTGTAGATATCAATAAAAAAACTTTTAGACGGAATAATTGCTCTTCATAAAGCAGCAATTAATAATAGTAAAGAAACAGCTGAACTTCTTATTCCACATGGTATAATTATCAATGAAAAAAATTATAGAAAAGTAACTGCTCTTCATTATGCGGCACATTAAAATAGTAAAGAAACAGCCGAACTTATTATTTCAAATGGTGCAAATATCAATGAAAAAGATAATGATGAAAAAACCCCTCTTCATTATGCAATATGGAATAATAGTAAAGAAATAGTCGAACTTCTTATTTCACATGATGTAAATATCAATGAAAGAAATAAGGAAGGAGGGACCGCTCTTCATATTGCAGCACATTATAATGGGAAAGAAATAGCCGAACTTCTTGTTTCCCATGATGCAAATATCAATACATAAGATAAAGATGGAAAAACCACTCTTCATTATACAACATGGAATAATAAGGAAATAGCTGAAAATCTTATTTTACATGGTGCAAATATCAATGAAAAAGATTATGATGGAAAAACCACTCTTCATAAAGCCGCAGAAAATAATAGGAAAGAAATAGTCGAACTTCTTATTTCACATGGTGCAAATATCAATGAAAGAGATAATGATATAATCACAGCTCTTCATATAACAGCAAGTAATAATAGTAAAGAAACCCCCGAAATTCTTATTTCGTATGGTGTAAATATCAAAACAAAAGATAAAGATGGGAAAACTGCTCTTCATTATGCAAAATGTAATAATAATAAAGAAATAGCCAAACTTCTTATTTTACATGGTGCAAATAAATGTTCTAACATATAATTTCGGAATTTGATTTAACATCAGGCAAAGATAAAATACTTCTCATATAGTTATTGAAACTATATTAATGCAAATCTAATGAATAATTTCGAATGATAAATTGAATAACATAGATTAAACTTTATGTCTTAGTAGAGCGAAATAATAATTAAATGATTTTACTAACAAATAAAAATTAAAATTATAATAAAATTAGTGTTTGCACAATTGTTTGCATTTGGAACAAAGGAATCGACCACATTTATCACAAGTGTCGATTGATTTGTTCAAATCGCTTCCACAAACACAGCAATTGACACAATATGTCTTCTTGAGAGGGTATTCAACTGATAAATCAAGACTTTCAACGCTGAACCATCTTTTATCTGATGAAACAAACACAAGACGTGAACATTTGTCTTGTATAAAAACATTTTCAGCGCAAACAGGAAGATTGATGCTCGAAATGAGGCTCATGTCGCATGTACGGATGAATTTCAAACTATTATCTTCACTGCACAAAACAACAAAACGATCAACAAAAGAAGTAGGTAAATTAGAAGATTTGAAACATGTGATTCTTGTATTGTTTTCATTAGCAAATGTATATAATTTATCACTACTGATACTATATGAATCAACACTGTGATGATGAACAAAGAACATAATTCCTGAATTGTCATCAATTATAATTTTGTTTATCAATGAATCTGTTTCAATATTATGAAGAATTGTTCTTGTTCCGATGTCATAAACATCAACTTTGTTTTCATATGAAATGCACAAAATATAATGAACAGAACTAATACATAAACTTGTGATTTTTCCATCAATATAAAACTTATCAATCAATGCTGCATTTGTTGCTTGTTCTTTCTTATAAAAGATTCTATAAATAATAACAAGACCTTCTTTGATCGATGTGCAAAGATAAATTCCATCATTAGAATAACAATATTTTGAGTAATTATGATGAATAAGAGAATTAATGTTAATTGGCGATTTCATTTCTGGAAGAATAAATTGTTTTTCATCAAAGAATGACAAATTATTTTCATAAACAAGACAATATGATGCCTTATCTGATTGTGGATTGATTTGTTGAATAAACAAATCACGATTTGTCATCAAATTCCATGTGTAACTACTCTTTTGATTCGGATGAGTTTTGGTGAAAATTTGTTCAGGACATTGTCCGAAATTCAAAATACACATTTCATTTGCTTCTGTTTCAAGAGGATCATCACTTTGAACTCTATCTGCGTATGTCAAAGGATGGAACAAGTTCTTGCTTTCTATTGCAAGTTCACCACGGCTTTTCTCTCCGAAGATGAGATCGAACCAATTTCCAATTCCTTTTCCAACTTTTTCTTGTTCAAGAGAAAACATCATTTTCTGGGAGAAATCGTATTCAGATGATGACCATTTTGGAAGAACAACAAAGCTTGCATCTCTTTCTGTTGAAACAAATCTGAATGATGTTGATTTCAAGATTTCAGGACTGTTGTACAATTGTGGCGTGAGTTCTTTAACATCTGCGGGAGTTGAGAAACTTGCAGAACGCCATGAATCAGAAACAGAAGTGAAGATTCTGTTTGGATGGTCCCAACCACGGTTGAGATGAATTCCAAGCAAACAGAATGGATCTGCACGGAAATTAAAGAAGAGAACAACACCGAAATGCATATAATGGCTTCCATAATAGAAAGAATGATCAGAATCTTCGTAAGTATTATCATAACCTTTCTTTCTATCTGAAGGAAGTTGGCCCATTGGTAATCTTAAATCTCTTAACGAACTTTCACGAACATCTTCGTTATCGTAATCACTCAATACCCATGGGAAAACATAGTATTGTGTGTGATCAACAATTGTTCTTCCACTCAGAATATTGACAATGCAAATATAAGTAAATGTCGAGATATCTCCATTTACCCATTTGTTTGTTATGTCTTTGAGTGATGTATTACGAAGAAGACGTGAAGTATTGATAGGTGTCATAAAAGATGATACAAAAGGAGGAAGACTTTGGTCTGTTTGTTCAATAATTTGATCCAAAATCTGAATAAATTTGACGTTATTTGTAACATCAGTTATAACAACAAATTGTTGGCCACGAATGAAAGTTAATACAGCAGATGATTTCTTCTGAAGCCAATTATGAATCCTTATATCAATGAGCTCGTTCAAACAAAGTCTGAATGAGATATGACCGAAGAAAGTGAATGACTTTCCAAAATAGTTATTTAATATTATGTGTCCGTAATATCTCATTGAAAGGTTTTCACTTTCTGTCTGTTCGATGACTTCGAATCCTATTTCTTTGTTGTACCTAAATCCTTCAAGGAAAATGAATTCATTCTGTGTTATTAAGATAACTCCTTCGAGTGGATCAATTCCCCAAAGAATGTGGCAATTAAAAATGTTCTTGAATTCGTTTCCTTCGTTTAACAAATTCTCCAAAATCCATAAACGAAGATTCGTGTTTATCTCGAAATTCCAACAGAACATTTTATGTTTTTCATCGACAATCTCTGAGACAGGTGGATAAATTCTACAAGTGAAGTGATAAAGAGAAGTTTCTTCAAAGATATTCTCTTTGTACAATGTCTTGTATAAATCAGGAATGGAGCCACCTGGATAAGGAGGCATTTCGTATTCTAATGGAGATGGATCAAATCTTCGTGATGGAAGAAATGTGTCTCCTAAAAATGTCAAACATTTTCTGTCACTTTTATGCGGTTTAAATTTAGAAATTGACCAAGAAATTAATTCTTTCTTACGTAATGTCATGCAATAACTACATTCAAAGCTTTCAAGATACATGCGGCGTAGTAAATCAGTAACAGTATTTGCCATAGCAGTCATCTGACTGATGTTAGAAATGAATTCATTTCCTGTAATTCTTATTTTGTCAATTTTTTCATGTGTTGATGCTTTTGATTTTTGAAGACGTTCGTTCATCTGTTCAGATCTATGTTGGCATCCTTCATTAACAGATTGAATTGCTTTGGCAGATTGCAATGGATTGTCTGATTGATCATTAAACACTTTCTGCCATTTATCATTACTTTTATTAAGAAATTCAACAATTTTATCCATGTTATGAACCATTTTACATGTTTGCCATATGCATGCGCTAACATAAGGATATTCTTTGATGATATCACTGTTGAAGATCCATTCGCAATTCTCGTTAATCAAATCACCAAGAGTTGCTGTAATTCTTGGCAGAAAAGCCAAACAAAGAAGGAAATTAGTGTTAATAAGAGATTTATCTTCGAAACATTTCCTTATACTCAAATTAAGGACTTCTTCTGTATGTTCATTGAGCCAACCATCTAAAATTAAGTTGCAGACATGTGAGAAAATAGTTCTATCAAGTTGTTCTGTTTTAGTAAGAAGTAAATTAATGATTTTGCTGAGTAACATACTTGTATAAGATTTCGGACAACTTGAACATGGAGGAATAAGAATTGTTTGTGCATTATTTGATGTTACAACAATATTTTTAATAAATAATGCAACGCTTTCCATAACATTTTCATTAACTGTTTGGTTTTCATTGTCTATTTCTGCATCTTTGAAGAGTTCTGTGCAATAATGTAAATAATCATCAATATCAGAGAAAAGAGGACTAAAGAATTCATCAGTTTGTTTTGGAATAACCATAACAACGTTTGCACCTGGATTAAGTTCAATTTTAGAAGGAATTGACTTCTTAATTGTTACTTCAAGTTCTTTTTCAATCATGCTGTTGAATTTGACTTCTCCTGGTAATCCGCTTATTATAAATGAAGAAGCAGAGTTTTCTACAGAAGCAGGAAAACTCAAATTAGAGTTAACAACAGGAGTTTTTTTTGGCAATGATCCAACTTTGTTGCTAACACCTGGTAATTGAGGAATTGGCAAGTTAAGACCATTAAAAGAAGGAACAGTTGTTTTTGTAAGTTTCCTTGATGAAGATGAATATGTTGAATACGTTGAAGAAGGAACAGATAAAGGAGGAGAAGGAGGAGATGAGAAATTGATCCGTCCTTGGGAACCGGAGTTAACTTGATCTTCAATTGAAACATCAGAAACATCTGTAACATTATCACTTTCAGAAACATTTCCTGAAACTTTTTTATTTATGAAAGAATCATCATCAGCAATTTTAGGAATTCTTGGACTTGATGCCGGCATAAATTGTATTTTGCTGTCTTGGAAGAGGTTTTTAACTGTTGAACTCCTTCTTCTTCCTCCTATTCTTGGACCAGCATCTGAAACACGTCTCATCTTCTGCGATGGACGTGGTTTGAAGCCAAAGATTACTTCGCATCTCGTTGGATCAGGAGCAATGCTGTCATCATTATAAAGTGAATAACCAAGACACATTAAAATTGATGACCACATTGTAAATTCTTGGCCAAATTTCTTTTGTTTTGGTATAACAGTATTTGAGAATTCATCTAATATTGTTGTACCTATTTTAGCCCATTTGTTATCTTGTTTCGATATACTTGATCCATAAACAAGAGAACCAATTAATGACAAGAAAGGAAAAATCAAATTTATATCAAAATTCTGGAGATTTATGTTGTTATAATCACTACATGAACCATGAGTAACAATATGAATAATTGCAGACCATGTGTCTTCAAACATTATCTGTTGATTCAAACTAATCAATATATTCTTAAGGATGTTTGACATGTTGTCATCGAATTGTATATTATAAACAACTTTCATGACAACGTCGTGTGGTAAATTATACAACAAATGTGAACAACTAACAGTGTTTTCAAGGATATTAAACATAAGATTAGGATCTAATAAAGGAAAACATTGGCATTTGTAACAAGAAGCGAATAAAGATGTTGTTGAAATTTTGTGGACAGCTTTTAATTTTGAAACAATTTGAGTGATTTCTCTTGATTGTTCTGTTCCAATTAAAAGTAACCACAACAACACATTTAATGAATAATTAGGGAATTTTTCTTTCGATGACAAATCAAGTAATGTATCAAAAATAATTGATTTGTAACTGGAAGTCATCAATCTATCAATATCCAAGAAAAATGACTCAAAAGAAATCCAGTCAACAATAGGATTCGTAAATAAATCAATTAATGATTTGACAATGTCTGATGAGAATTCAAAGAAAGAAGCAATGACAGACATTCTTTCCGCAAACTTAAGATTGTCGAAATCTGTTTCTCCTCTTCTTTGATAATTAATTAAACCTTCTAAATAGTTCAAACCGTCTTTTTCGTCAATTTCCTTTTCAAAGAATTTTTGGAGGATGTAATGGAATCCGCCCAAAACATTTCTTATGTATTTAGGCAACGGATAGTTCGGAATGATCTGCGGAGATCCTGTTACACATTTAGGAAGTGAATAATTGGAATCAATATCCAAAAACTCGTTTGGAGAAATGTGTAATAATGATTTCAGTTTTTTCAAACAGTCATAACCGTTTTTCATGACATTATCCATTTCATCTGATTTCTGATCATACATTCTAATGATTGTAGTGATGAAATTGGTGCTTTTTCCACCAATTGTCGTATTCCCTTTCGCAACAACTTTCGTGTTTCCTTCTAATTTTCCATTGACGTAAATATTCAAATTATTGTCATCGGATTTCAAATAAATGAAATACCAGTTTTGCGAGTCTATCTTACTTATCAAGTTGTTGTCAAGCATAAGTCCTTTTTTGGATAAGGTTAACTTTACACCTTGAAAAGTGACAAACTCAGAAATTTTTGATTCAATTAATTTGAACCAAAAAGTTAAAATTGAAATGTTATCGTCATGTTTGATGGAAAACTTGGCTTCTTCGCCAGGAAACTGGAATAAGGGGAACTTGTTTTCTTCATGTGATGAACACGCTTTGAATAATAAAGAATTGTCCGCAATCTTTTTGGATAATTTAGGGCAAACGTAAGTTCCTGAGATTCGTGGTAAGTAGGGACTTTCTAGAGGGTTCTCGTATTCACCATATAGCTCAATAAGAAGGAGATCGTAGAGATCCGTAATATCATATCGTTCTGCTCTTTGAATAAGGGTTGGGAAGCAGACTTTCGGTTTGGATATTTCATCAGTAAGCATTTTACCAAATGAAAATCTTAAAAATTCCTCTGGAGATAAATTAAAATTATCTAATCTGTCAATATAGTCCGAAATCATGCGGTTATAGTCTCTTATAAATCTACCTTGTGATAATATGCTAACGTAGTTAACCAAAGTCTTAATATCCAATAATTTCATTTGATAAAGCTGAATTACGGTTCCAATTGTATTTAATCTGAGGTATTCCGCAAGTAGCGATGATGACTTTGATGATATCATAAGTACTTCTACGAAACAGCTTGAATCTTTTTGTATTTCGATATAATTCATAAGATAATCGATAATTTGTGGATAAACGGAAGCACCTTGCAGCAGTTGGGCCAAACAATATTTCGCTTCGGTCTTATTGTCAAGATCTGCAAAGATTGAAATAAATATTTTTAATATTTTGTTCTTTTCTTGTTGATTTGGGAGGGATTCATAAAATCTTTGTAAAAACAATACTAATTGCGGATATTTATTGAACAACTCCTTTGAGTCGGAATAATTGAGAGTTGTAACGAAAGGCGCGAAAAATGAGAGAGCAAAAGGTTGGAATTCTGTATCCATTTGTAAAAGTAAATGAAATAAATCCGTAAGATCGACATTTAAAGCTGTAGTCAAATTACAAAATCTAAGAATTCCCGGTACGATTGGAAGTATGTTATAATTTAGTGTATATCTTAAGTAAACGAGCATACCGATATATTTTTCGACAGCTTTTGTATTTGACAGATTCATGGAAAAAGCAATTGGACTGATAAGGTGGGATTTCAGAATGTCTTCAGAAGGCTTTCTGTCTTGTATGTATTGGTCGAGTGAAGTTAGTAAGGTATTGTAAGTGTCAGGATTGATTAAATTTTCATTTGTAAGAGCGTCAACTAAAAAACCGATAGCGGGTGGTAATTGTGATGGATCAGGATTCATGTTAATATAATCTGTTAGTATCGTGGCAACTGAGTCGGACACATCTTGTAATTTTACAATTGTGTGAATCATTTGTACGAATAAGCCAGATTCAATAGCAAGAGGATAAAGTTTCTTAGGATCTAGTTGTATAAGATATAATATAAGTTGTGAAAATTGCTTGGATTCGTCTAATAATAAAGAATCAAAAGATTGAGAAACAATTTGGAAAATTTTGGAAGCACTAGAAACATCTAGAGCTAGATTGTATTTATGAATGTTTGCGAATATAATTTTTAGCGCCGTTTCGCTCAATAATGTCTTTTTTTTCATCATTTTTTGGAATATTGCAAACATAAGTCCATCATTTTCGATAAAATTGTTTGCAAGAGCGGGAATACTAAGCAATTGAGTTAATGAAGGTGTTAATAAATTGAGATTATCACTATCAGATTGGCAAAATTGAACGGCAGTAACATAAATGGACGCAAATAATCTTTCTACGCCGAGGATACTTGCAAAATTCATGAATTTCGTAAGAAAATCAATAATGGTTTTAAATTCAGGTTGTTGTTGTGAAAACATGTCAATATTTTGCAGTATTGATTGTAGATATCGCTGCGATGCAGTTTGAACGCTTGTTTTATCGATATCTTTTGTAATATTATTGAAAATTTCTGTGAAGAAAGGAATCACTTGAATTGTAATTGCAAGTGTTTTGGAATATTCCTTTCCACCGCATTCATTTAACATTACAACAATCATTTCTGCCATTGATTCAACTAATTCATTTTTCACACTCATAATTAGTCACTTTTAAAATATTGAAGGAAAATTTATCGATCCAACTTCAATTTTATTTTATTGATCTGAAATCACTATATTAGTGAATTGTAAGATAAGCAATCATACTTTTTTTGAAAACGATATTCTGACAAAATGTAAAAATAAATCACAATGTGCATGCTATATTCTTGCAGTTTTTTCAACTGACATTTTTCGGATTTCAATATAACCTCAAAGAATAAATTATTGAAAATCGGGAATCAATAGCGACTATTAATAAAAATAATTTCCTGCTAGAATTGATAATGCATCTGCTACTGGGATATATATAGAATTATTGCAAAGCGAATGAAAAATTATTGAAAAAAGAAAGTTATAAAAGCGTCTCTACATTGATGAAACTAATAGATTTAAGCAATATAAACGAATTTCTTCTTTTGCGGGTCATAAGATTATAACAGGTCTGAATTCTGAATTATTTGTATGGTTTCGTAAAGTTTTATAGTTGATTATGAATTAGATAGTGGTATATATTCTAATTACCTCAATTATGTTATGTTATTTACCATCCATCATTTTTCGAATCAAAAAAGTTTCACAAATTGTGAAGAATTTAAGAGATTTTAAGGGTTTCGTTTTGCGAAAAAACGTACAATACGCAATTTCGCTAAAAAAACATTTAGCTAGCAATTTCGACATTTGACTCCACTCAAGACGTCACTTTTTTAATTTTGCGGTATCATATTTTTGGAAAATCTTTATGAATATTATATAAAAAGTCTCTTTAATATCTATATTTCATATTTTTATCGATTTTTAAAGTTTTTGCGAAAAGTATTCAATTATTTTTGCTATTTGGTCGGGTAAATGTCAGATTTGCGACATTTTCTGATATGATATTCAGATTCTACGTTGATAATAATGCTTATAGAACCCTCTTGCTATTGTGTCAAAATTGCGAAACCGATAGCAAAAATATCTCGCAATATCAAAATTGAGATATTGAGTGAATTATGCATTATAGAGATTAAAAATCTGATTTGTGAAAACATCTCATCAGTTTCTAGCTAATTCAAAAATCTTTACTATCTTATTCGATTAAAATGAAAAGGGAATAGTTTCATTATGCTTTAAATGACAGCCTTATAATATAATCATAGTTTTCGCTCAATATGCAGCTTTTTTTTTCGAAATCTATGGTCAATGTCCTAAATACTGATTGCTTTGCATTCATATCTCTTACATTTTCTGTACCCACATCACTATTCATTGCTATTCCTATCTTTTTCATTTTTGTTTGTTTCTCATAATTTCTCAAAAAACACGATAACTTGATATTTGTAAATATCATACTTTATAACGTAAATAAGAACTTGACCTATTAAGAAAAGCAGTAATGAAAAGAAAATCTGAAATTCATAAAAATTACAAGTTTCTGATGACAATTAGCTTAATTAAACCAGGTACAAGATTATATAATTGTATTTTCTATCCAATTATCCATATAATATCTTATCCAGAAAAAATAACTTGATCTGTTCCATATTAAGTTCTGTCAAAATGTAAGCTATTCAATTCTATCGTCGGGGGAAGTATCACAAATCTATCAATTTTTTTGTAAAAGTATACAAAAACATATGGTGTTCAATTAGTTTATAATAATATAAATATTAAGATTATCCAAAATAAGAAAAACTAGGTTTTGAGAACACTTTTGAGATGATAATCAAAATATTTTGATTGAAAAATAATATATTATTTATCAGATATAGAATGGATTTTTTCAAATTTAAAAATTCTGAAAAATAAACAGTTTTGTAAAGTAAAAAAAATGAACGAAAACTCGAGACCTCGTATTCCAAATGAATGGGTAAGATATATGTATGAAAAACTTGAAAGTGGTGAGTTAACTTACGCAACAGTTTTGAAAAAAGTTCCATATTCTTATCAAAATGTTACAATTTTCAAACAAATTTCAAGAAATACTCTCAAAAAAGCATTCAAAGAAATCGGTGGTACACCAAAAATTAAAAGTGCTCCTCCACAAGAGGAATTAACTCCAGAATTAATTTTGAAGGTTCAGAATTCTTATGAAAATTACAAATGTGGGGTTCAAAAAATTGTATTGGACTCTCAATATGAATCCAAAACAATTTTAAATCAGTTACAATGCAGTTATTAAGGCAGCAAAATTTCTGGGAATTTACAAAGAAAAAGATAAAAGTAATCCAAAAGCATATTATGTGGATTATGAAGCAATTCTTCCAAATACAATCTGGCATGTGGATATTCATTTTTTGAAAGAACCAGAAACTTTACCGGTTTATGGAATAATTGATGACAAAAGTCGTTATTTGTTAGCATTGAAATTGCTTCGTAACAAAAGTTCAACAGAAACTTCAAAAGTGGCAATTGCAACAGTTCAAAAATATGGAGCACCTTTCTGTTTCTGGTCAGATAACGGTAAAGAAAATGAGGGAGAGTTCACAAAATTTTTGAGTACTTATGACATTCAAATCAGAAAATCAGCTCCATACATGCCACGTCAAAATGGCAAAATTGAACGCCTCTGACCATCACTGGACAAAAATACTCCAAAGTCTTCAGAATTTGAGAGCATCAATCAGGAATTAGAAGAATTCAGGCAAAAATACAATGACATGCCACATGGCGCTCATCCAAAAATTGGAGTTCGACCATACACTCCAAGAGAGGTTTACAACAAATTTAAGAAATGGACCAAGGATGATAAACCGCTCTGGAAAAAATGTGTTAATAAGCAGTGGGAAGTTGAAGAGATTCCAAACTATTGAAATATTCTATATTTTTTCAAAAATTCTCATTCAAATTTGAATTTGGTTTTCAAAATTATGAATAAACATTATTTTTATTAAACTTGATTTTTAGCTCTAAAGAATCAAAAGAATTTAGCGAGAAAGAATATGCAGCTCACATAGGGGTAGATAAAGATATATCTCGAAAAAAATTGAATTTATTGTAAAGAATGAAGAAGTTCATTTTAAGATTGAGTTGATTTTCAACCAAAACGAGAGAGCATGCAGGCAAATGAAATTCGAAAAGTGAAAGGAATGACATATGCAAAAGAAAAGATTCAAATAACGCAAGCGAAATATAGATCAGTTAAAATCACAATAAAATTTCGATCTTTTCTACAGGGAACTAAAGGCTATGAGGCACTGATATAAGGTCAGTGCCTCATAGCCTTTAGTTCCCTACTAAAAGTGAGAAAACTTGTTCGCAATGCGAAATGATTGCGAACAAGTTTTCTCACTTCAGCGAGGGAATTGTTCCTTATGATGCATACATTATAAATATATACATCATAAGGAACAATTCCCTCTAGATAGCTGGGAAACTTTCTCTAAATAACTTATCATTTGGAGAAAGTTTCCCAGCTATCTACTGGGAACTAAAGGCTATGAGGCACTAATATATAATCAGTGCCTCATAGCCTTTAGTTTGTTATTAAAAACGAGAAAACTTGTTCGAAATGATAAACAATTTCGAACAAGTTTTCTCGTTTAAGGAGGGAATTGTTCCTTATGATGCATACATTATAAATATATACATCATAAGGAACAATTCCCTCTAGATAGCTAGGAAACCCTAAATTAACTATTAATCTTTGAGATATTTTTTATTGAGGTTAATACGTTTTTCTAAATAATTAAAATGTAAAATTTTGATTATGAACTCATCTCTAATATTTTGGCTCTTTAATATATTTGAATCATGATCTTTGAGAAGAGTTCTCAAAAGTATTCACAAAAGCTATTTTTCCTTGAAATTTAAAAATCCTGTTTATCATATATTACCGAATTCAATTCCCTACATATTTCAAAATATTCTATGAACATTTCAATTTTTGAAAAAATCATATTTTTTCCAAATATATTTATTATCATATTTCTAATAATATTTCCTAAAGAGTCACTTTTTACTTCCTCGACGATTATTTCCCTCTCAAAAAATTCAACAGCTTACATTTTGACAGAACTTAATATGTAACACTCTTTCTATCTAATATTTCTCTATTCCTTAATTTTCTTATGAAATTTGTTATTTTTTATTTAATTTTTAAAATTTTCAATTTTTTTGGATAATTTTATTCATTTTTATGATAATTTATTCTATTCTCATTATATAATAATATTGTTCATTTTTATTTTTTTAATTTTTCAATGCATACGATAATTTTTAATTCAATTTTTAAACGAATGTTTTGATGGGATGAGCTTACTGAGCATAGGCTCATCCCATCAAAACATTCCCTTAAAAACTCTGGCCTTCATCGAGGCCAGAGTTTACAATTCATCAGCTCAGAGCCAAGTTCCTCGACGGTCGTCCTCATTAGGCCCGATCCGAGAACTTGGCTCTTCATTAAAATCACAAGCTCTGGCCATTGCTAAGGCCAGAGCTTCGCAAACCATCCTCGGGGCCGGTTTCCTCAAAGACCGCCCTGATTCGGGGCGGCCGGAGAGGAAACCAGCCCAGAGAGAGTTCCCATACGAAGCTCTGGCCCAAGCAAAGGCCAGAGCCTGCAAATACAATCCTCAGGGCCGAGTTTTGCGATGATCGTCGATCATGTCGACGGTCTCATATGAGATTAACAAAATCCGAACATGATATTAACTGTTTAGGTGAAGCTTATTTCAAACGTCATGATAGGATAAAAATAAAATCAAGTTTTGAATTTAAAGATGATTCAGCATTTTCTGCTGGAGGAAATGCAGATGACGAAAAATATCTTAATTGTAATAGAATATTTATTGGATTTAAGTCAAGTAATCAAATTTTTAGACAATTAGAAGTTGAGACAGATAGAGGAGATACAGGATATTTGCAAATGGAAATGGTTAAAGAAGGTTTTGCATATGCTACATATAAACCAAAATCGGAAAGGAAGACAAAGAAATTTGTCCATAGTTTATACAATAATGTTCAGAAAATGGACAATTCAGTATGTAGGGTATATTTCAATCCAAATGATGGTCAATGGTTGAAAGATGCTAAGGATGAAAGGTATTTAGAATTTGATTTGATCATTCCATTAAATGACTTATTAGCATTCCAGGCTTTTGATGATTACCCAAAGAGTTTTGGTGATATAATACTTAAGTTAGTATCTAGTAATTGGGTACCAAGGGTCTACGCCCCTTAGTACTCAAATTACTAGAATTTACAAAAACCGTTTGACACGTAAAATATTTTCGACATTTACAAAACTAAAAAAATAATTTTAAAAAAAATAAACTTAAAAATAAACTTTAAAATTTTTGACACTTTACAAAATAAAAAAAATGATTTTTAAAAATAAACTTAAAAATTAACGTTAAAATTTTTGACACTTCACAAAATAAAAAAAATAATTTTTAAAAAATAAACTTAAAAATTAACGTTAAATTTTTTTATTTATTTTTTTATCATAGATTTTAACACCCAGAGTAAAAAAATAATTTTTAAAAAATAAACTTAAAAATTAACGTTAAAATTTTTTTATTTATTTTTTTTATCATAGATTTTAACACTCAGAGTAAAAAAATAATTTTTTAAAAATAAATTAACTCAAAATTTTTTTAATTTCTGTATATACTAAATTTTTCATAAATGATAAAATTAATTTTAGGGTATATCTAACCCGATATCTAACCCGATTTCTCACCTTGTGAATTTTTCATAAATTTTCTTATAAAGTTGCAATAGTTGAATTCATTAACTGAGCCTCAAGGAAGAAAACATCCTTTCTGTCTTCGGGTAATACAACGGGGCATTTATGATCATGTGTAGAATACATATCAATCCAAAATTCTCTATTATTTCCTGATAACTTATAATATTTAATATTTGTTAATGGTGATGCTCTAGTATGTCCAATAAATTCATTTTCAACCCCTTTAGCGATATTTGAATATAAGATCACTTGTTTTCTGTCCCATACATTATATGTTATTATTGGTAATAATACTGTTCGTTCTTCTCCGGGTTTATAATTAAATACATTCATGAAGTCTTCATTATACTGAGAAATTTTAAAACCTATCCTAAAATCACTTTGTCTCTTTTCTGCTACTTCATTAAACGGCGAGTATATAACAAATGTGCATGTATGTGAATCATCTATTTGTTCAATAAATTCATAATGAAAGTCTATAATCTGCGGATGAATTCCTTCTTCACCTAATTTATCAAGATACACATTTAATCCTAAAGCGTTTTTGTTAAATTTCTTTTCGAAAATTTCATTAAAATCATTCATGCATTCATATAATGTTGTATCATCTTTGAAATATTTATATATGTGAATAGTTTGCTTAAATTCTTGTGTATCGTTTATAACAACAACTTCAAGCTCAAATTCAACCTTTCTAAATCCTCGCGTTATATACATATTTGATAAACCAATATATTTTTCATTTATATTCACAGCCCACTCAATAGGTAATTTAAATGTAATTCTATTTCCATTTATTTTAACATTTTCGTCTTCAGAACTGAAAGCAACTGTTAAAGGTACTTGTCTATACATTTATTACAAACAAAAATATATCATTTATTCTTTCTTCTCAATGGAAAAGGGTCTTCGACCCTCATGAGGCTCAATGAGCCTCTTCAGCCTTTTCCTTTTCAGCTTTTTCTTTAGCCTCACGTTCTCTTTTTGCTTTCATTCTCGGGTTCTTCTCTCTTCCTGCAGCTAATGCGGCTAACTGCTTTAGTTAGTATCATGAAATTGGGTACCAAGGGTCTACGCCCCTCATTTCCCCTTTTCATGTTTTGACAAAATAATCGGATATCGTAAATTTACAAAACATATTTTTGACATTTACAAAAAATAAAAAAAATATTTTTTTAAAAATTAACTTTAAAAATTAACGTTAAAATTTTTGACACTTTACAAAATAAAAAAAATAATTTTTAAAAAAATAAACTTAAAAATTAACGTTAAAATTTTTGACACTTCACAAAATAAAAAAATAATTTTTAAAAAATAAACTTAAAAATTAACGTTAAAATTTTTTTATTTATTTTTTTATCATAGATTTTAACACCCATGTAATAAACAGAAATTCATCAAAAGTGACAGCTCTCAATTTTTTGACATTTGTAAATTCTAAATTGAATGAGAAAAATGAAATAATACTAAGCATAATACAATATTCTAGATTTAATTATAATTAGGAAAAAGTTAGTTTTGAGAGTACTTTTCATAGGCATATAGAATGAAATCTTCTGAAAAATAATATCACATAAACTCATATTATTTTCTAATATATAACTATTTTATATAAAAATCAAATTCAATGATCTTAAAAGCGAAGGATAAACCTCAAAATTTACGAATATAATGAGTGGGAATATAATGCTTATCTATCATAAAACCATATGAAATATCAATTTTTGCTTTACGCCTAATTTTTGACGACAATTAGCAAAAAATGTTAAATGTTAACACTCAGTCCATTTGAATATGAAAAATAAAATTGACTTTGATTAAATGTTTTTATTTATCATGCAATTCTTCTTGCGACCAAAGATTTGAATAAAATTTCAAAAAATAAGATAGCTTAAAAAATAATATACGGTAGTGTTTACTAATAGATGAATAGTATATAAATTCTATTAAAATGGATTTGATCCAAAAAAATATATAAAATTTGATCATAAATAAAATCGTTTTAAATTACTTCTTCATTTAAATTATAACAATTATTTTTGATTTTTATTTATCATCCACATTCAAATTTGAATCTTATCACAAAAGAAGGACCACTTTTATGACTACTGCCAAATCTATAAGCAGAGAATGGCTATTTGAAGCTAAAAGAAGAATAGAAGAAGGTGAATCTTACAAAAGTGTGGGAAAGGAAGTTGAATTGGAAAATGGTAAAATTAAATTGAATGTTGCCGAAATACAATAAGAAGAGCATTTCAACTTCAAGAAATCGAATTACCAAAAGTTAGTCGCGGCAGAAAACCAAATCCACCAACATTTGAGCAAAAACAATTAATTAATTCTTGTGTTTCACAATATAAAGGATGAATTTCAAAAACTTATTTATTGATTAAAAGGTTTCAAAATATTGCTCAAAATCCCGATTGTGAGAAAGAAAAAGAAGAAATTGCAAAAGAATTTGAAAAATAGAAGATTTGACAAAAGATCAAATTTTTGACAATTTACAAAAAATAAAGCATCATCAAGTGGAAAAATTTATGATGGAATCAGGTTTATCTTCAAAAGAGATTACAAACCAGCAGATCCACCTACCAAATATCGTGCCATATCAAAGAATTTGATATGGCACTGCGATATTCATTACCTTCACGGTAATGTTTCTTTTCCATTTTTTGCCATATTGGATGATATGACACGTAAAGTTCTCAAAACTAAATTATTGAAAAACAAGTCTTCCAACTCAACAGCGAAGGTTTTAAGAAAACTTTTAGAGGAGTTTATTCCTTACTGCATCTGGACCGATAACGGCGGTGAAAACCGCGGTGAATTCGGCCAGGTTATGCAGGAAAACGGAATAGTTTGGAAGCACACCTTGCCGTATATGCCAAGACAGAACGGCAAGGTGGAGCGCCTGTGGCCAAGCTTAGAAAAGTTTTTGCCAGACGAGTTGGATGATATTCAACAAATCAAGGACTCAGTTCAGCAGTTCATTGAAAAATACAACAATACACCACAGTTATCTCTCGATATTAATCCAAAAACGAATAGTAATTACACTCCCAACGAATTATTCGAAGTTTCAAAATTTTGGTACGAGCCAGAAATGCAAAAATGGGAGTTATATATCAAAGACGAATGGGTCTTAGCAAAATTTGAATAATTACATCATTTTAAATGACTACTAAACAATTTTATTTATGATCAAATTTTATATATTTTTTTGGATCAAATCCATTTAATAGAATTTATATACTATTCATCTATTAGTAAACACTACCGTATATTATTTTTTAAGCTATCTTATTTTTTGAAATTTTATTCAAATCTTTGGTCGCAAGAAGAATTGCATGATAAATAAAAACATTTAATCAAAGTCAATTTTATTTTTCATATTCAAATGGACTGAGTGTTAACATTTAACATTTTTTGCTAATTGTCGTCAAAAATTAGGCGTAAAGCAAAAATTGATATTTCATATGGTTTTATGATAGATAAGCATTATATTCCCACTCATTATATTCGTAAATTTTGAGGTTTATCCTTCGCTTTTAAGATCATTGAATTTGATTTTTATATAAAATAGTTATATATTAGAAAATAATATGAGTTTATGTGATATTATTTTTCAGAAGATTTTGTGTTCTTCTTCAAAATTTTATTTTTTTATTAAAAAGAATCTTTACAAAATATACATTTACTTTAATTAATATTTAAAAACGTGCTCTATCAAAAGTTCCAAAAATTCAATATTTTAGCTTTTCTGAGGTGTCACTTTTGATGAATTTCTGTTTACAACACCCAGAGTAAAAAAATAAACTTAAAAATAAATTAACTCAAAAATTTTTTAATTTCTGTATATACTAAATTTTTCATAAATGATAAAATTAATTTAGAGGGCTCTTTGAGCCCATCTCGCCGCTACGCGGCTTAGGGTAGATCTAACCCGATATCTAACCTCATTTCTAACTTTGTGAATTTTCAACAGTAAATATGTTGGCATGATTCAGGAATGTCATCGCTGCTGTCTTCAAACTCTTTTATAGATTCATACCATAAACGAGCTTCACGGGAGATGAGAAGTAATGAAACGATAATTAATAATTTATTAGTAAAATTCATTTTATATAAAAATAAAATTTATTATTTCATGAGGACTCTTTGAGTCCATCTCGCCGCTAAGCGGCTTAATCTGATTTTTCGAATTCTTCTAACTTCTTCTTCCGTTCTGCTATATTATCTTCATATAATTTAATCTTTCTTAATATTCCATCTTTATTTAATGGCTGCTTAATTTTTCTAAATTGAACACTACCATCTTTCATTTGATGAACATAAAAACCTTCTGGAATAGTTCCTGATTTAATGTATTCAACTAAAAACTTTTGTTTTGTTGCTTCAGTAATTTTAGTACTCATTTTATTAAAAGTAAAAAATAAAAAATATTTTTAAAATTAACTTTATTTTTTATGAGGACTCTCTGAGTCCATCTGAGCCGCTTAGCGGCTTCGTCGTCTTTTCCTTAATTCCTGCGGATCAACTAGGTCGGTTGAAGGTCTATTACTTTCTTTATAGTGTTTATAAAGTTTATAAGCCGCCATATGATAAGGATAATTAAACCATAAATACGCTTTACCTAAAGTTTTCAATCGATTATATAAATCATTATTGTTAGGCGTTTCAGGTGGTGCAGGGTATTCGAGAACAATCTCTAACCATTTAATTACTTTAAAACTCTTGGTTTCTTTTTTTAGTTTTTAACAGTTTCTTTGCTTTTGCGATTTTAGCTAAAATATATCTTCGACCGTAATGGAACCAATTCGAACCTCCTGTTTTAGGGTCAAAAGGTCTTCCATAACCGCCAGGGTCATATGGTGCGACTGCAGTTACTGGCGCTGGTGATGGTGATGGCGCAGGTGCTGAATTAATCGGCGGTGCCTCAATTGGTGGATATTCTGGCTGTTTCTCCTTTTCTTTAAGTGAATTTAATTTAAACTCTTCGCCATTCAACTGACCTTTAAAATCTTTTAGCTGCTTAGATATTTCATTATCTTCACCTAAAAGGTTCTGCGACTGATCAGCGACCCAGTTACCTAATTTCTTTAACTTTTCAGATTTTAATTTTCTGGCAGCAGCTCCCACAAGCATTCCAGCATTATTTTTTAAAGCTTTTGATACAGCTCCACCAGTTAAACCGTCAATAGCTTTATAACCTCCATACAAAGCTGATAGTGTTGAAAATACCATTTAATGCTTATTAAAATCATTTCTCATAATGATTAACTCATAAAATTTTTCATCGGAGCTAAACGTTAATGAAACTCTGACTTTTTCACCACTGAACCTCTTTATTAGTTCATTAATTCTATCAATTATATTAGCACACTCACTTACATCATCAATGATAGTAATATCATCACAAATTATTTTTACATTTAACGACGTCATTTATTACAAATTAATTTCTTCTATTCTTTAAATAATTAATAAAAGACCTAATACGTGTGAGTGGTTCGCGGTTCCTTTCCTGTGTCGGGCTTGTTTGAATCGGTGTAGATTTTTTCAGACCTGTTGGAATAAGATCAGCCCCGGCAGTTGAATTAATCGGTGTTCTATATAAATTTCTATATAAATATGGTCCCGCTACAGCACCAGCAGCTAATAAAAGACCTACAGGAATTACAATTCTATTATAATTCCGCGGTTTAGGGTCTTCATCAAAACTAGCCCATGCGCTTTCAGTCGTTGAACTCATTTATATATAATTAAATTTTAATAAGCGATTAATATGAGTTCGATAATAATACTATCTTTTCTGTCATCAGGAAGGACAATATCTTTTAGGCTCGATGGTTCAACTAATTTTATATTAAATTTATTAACATAATTAGTTATTGAATAATGCTTCGGCGGAGAATATAAACAGTTTGATAAACATAAAATAGAATCTTCAGCGAATTCACTTATACTTGATTTAATGATTGCCGCTTCTCTGGACCAAACACCATTAAATGAAATTGATGTTAATAAATAATCATCATTTTTAATGGAAATTGATTTTGGTAAGTACTCCAGGAGGTCATTTAATGTTATCTGTTCTGCTCCGAACTGAGCAAATCGATAAAAGCATTCATCATTATTAATTCCTGTAATCTCTTGAAAATTTTTATTCGTGTATATATTTTCAATCTCATCACCGACAGCACCATCTTTTAAATCAAATATGAAACCAGCTTTTGAATTTGAATTAACACGAAATTCTATTGAATTAGTTTCAAAACTATAAAACATATCAACTTCATTAGGTTGAGGATATCCGGCACCTTTTAACTGTTCAATAAGAACCGATTTAATCTTTTTATTAAATGCTGTCATATCATCTCCTGTGTCTAAATCTATATAAATCTGTAAATCATATTGATGATTATCTCTTATTATTCCAAAGTTATATAATTCAATGGTTCGTCCTGCAGGAATGGTTTTTATCTGTCTTATTTCAATTGCTTTTTCACCAGTGTTATAATCAACCCAGTGTTTAGGGTATTCATAAATGTATTCACCATTGATTATTTTAAACGGTTGTGAAAATATGTGCTCATAATAGATTTTAATACTTTTATCATTAAGACTGGGAACGGTATTAACAAAATTTCTGACTTGCATTTTTAATTATAATAAAATGAAACATTTATTTGAAGAAGTAGATGAAAAAATGAATGAAAAATCTGATAAACTCAATAGTTCATTAATTCTTCCCTTCAGTAAGGATTATCAGTTCTGTTCAAACGGTGTGTATTTCTATTGCGGAAAAATGGGTTCGGGAAAGACTTTTAATTTAATACGTCATATTTTAATTACTGAACGGTTAGGCTCTGAACACGCTAAAGGCGTGTTGAGCTCCGAAGGAGCGAATTCATATTATGACCAAATCATTATATCAGCAACTTCAGATTCAATGGATTCAACAGCGAAGACGTTTATGAGTAAAGTTCAGGCATCAGTAATTAAAGTTCCAGATAGCGAATTAATTTCTTTTCTTCAACGTTATATAAGAAGAAAGAAGAAATATTATGCAATAGTTGAATTTATACAATCAGGAATGCAAAAGACCTCGGAAGAAATGGAAAGAATTATTGATAAACATCATTTGAGACAGCAGGATGGTACGTATGATATGAAACGATTGACAAACTACATTCTCTCAAAACTTTCAAAATATCCTTTTAAAAAATATCCATCAAACACTTTATTAGTTTGTGATGATTTCGCTGGTAAAGGTTTAGTTTCAAAACCAGATTCACCATTAGCTAATTTAATTACTAAAGTCAGACATTATCACATGACTGTAGCAATACTAATGCAGACGTGGAGGTTTTTAGCTTTAAACATTAAACGTCTCATTACTGATTTCGTTATATTTCAAGGTTTCTCAAAATACGATATAGAATTAATTTGGAAGCAATCAGGTATAACATTACCTTTTGATGAAATCTGGGATGCTTATAAATCACTCATTTCACCACGTTCATATTTAGAAATTCATATAATGACTAATACAATTAATGTTAAAAATATACCTTGGGAAAGACCAACATTATTTTAAAGCTTTATTTTTAGATGAGGTGTAGTGAATAGATTCCATCCATCTCTATCACCATTTCTGTTTATATTTTTGGTGTCATTCATGTCCACACTTTCTGGATTAGTTAGTTTTTGAGGATAAAGATTAGAATAACTGTTTTTAATTGATGGTGCTTCACCTTTTAACGCATAAACTCTATTACTTTCTGCATATTTAATGTTTGAACCACCAGAACCATCATTTACGTAAATAGTAAATGGTTTATAATCGATGTTCATATTTCGACTTCTGCCTTTTGATTTCTTATTTAACACCTCAACATCTTTATAAACTGCGCCCGTTTCAGTGAATTCAACAAGATTTTCATTTTCAAGTTTCACGTTTAAACCTTTATCAAAGATATTATTCATTTTTATAGTAATAAAAGGTTTTTATTCTCTAGAAAATGAGAAGTAAATCCATCTTAGCCGGTGCAGTGAATGTTCCATCGAACCGACGTCGAATGTTGATTCAAGAACGACAAATAATATTATAATCAAAAATTACAGCTCCGAAAACTTGAAAGATAAAGAACCTAGGCCAAAGCTGAAATCCGTTAATTTAAACACAGCTTCAAACGCAAACGCTAACAGTGAAGTTAAGTTAGAATATCCACCTCCATTAGAACCAATAATCGTGATGCTCAAGATAATCCATATTCAACTATTCAAACTTCTTCAGATAACGTAGACCATTACCTCCTTAATTTATACCAAACAATATTACTCAAAGACGATAAGAAGCTTTTGACAAATCTTATTAGTAAGAATCAAATAATTTTAACAAAGGAGGATTTAGAAAATGTTATATCAAGAATAACAGGGAAACAGTGCGTTATTGATTATCTCGACCCTGAAATCGAATGTTGGTCAATGCCGTATTTATGAAAATCGGTAATATTAGAATAATCGAAACACCAGGAACTACAGGAGTTGAGTTTAAGTATAAATATTCGAATGAATACACAAAACTTTCAACAGAATATAAACTTTGCTTGAAATATGTTTTAACGAATTAATTTAAATTTTATATTTTTATCCCTGCTTGGTTCATCATCTAGTCCATTAGCTCTTATATTAGACCAAAAATCAACTTCTATAGTCATTGACAGGAGCTTTAATTTCAATTGGTTCGCCTTGAAAATCAACTAATCTAAATGTCATATCTTTTAAATGGTGTGGTTGAATTCGAACCCATTTTCCTTCGTGCCTTAATAAAATCGGAAAATTAGGCATGAATACAGAATTAACGGCGTAACAGAACGATTTATATTCTATAACAGAATTTTTATTATTAACTCCTGAAATTCCTGTTACATTACTTATTTTTGATTCAACATATAAACAGTTTCCATAACATATGTAGGGCAGATTTCATTTCAATTATATATTTTTGATTTTCAATAGAAGATTTTAACGGTAATTCTTGATGATAAGCACCTAATAATAAACGTGCTCGATGAGTCATATCAGTAATTTTAAATTCTTTTTCGGAACTAAATTTTATTATTCCTGAATCAGTTAATTCACAGTTAAGGGCTCCGTTAAATTTTTCATCAATGAGATCCTGAATCTTTTTTTCTAACGTATCAATATCATATTTATTTCTTGCTTTAAAATGAATTTCAGTACTAATACCATCAATTTCAAATGTAATGAAATCGTTAGTGTCTGTTATAACAAATGAAGCGATAGTGCTAAAATCAAGAACTCTGAAAGCTAGTGGTTCATTCTGAAGACCAAGGTTAGTTTGTAATTTTAATGTCCCGTAATCATTAGGATCAGTACTTTGCAAATAGAACAACATTTTTATTCTAATTAAAAATATGAGTATATCCGCATATTCTTATGAAGCTGATAGGGCGAAAAGATTAATTTTTGGTTCATACACGTTTTCATTTGATGATGAGCATTTAATTATCACTGACGGAAAAACTGAACATTATATCTCATGGAAAGAATTTGAAAAATTCATTCCAATATTAACGCCATGTACAATGCCGTTTATAAAAGACGGTGAAATTATTGAAAAAGATAACACAACAGTATATAGGTCTGTTTATGAAGCATTAGAATATATGTTGAATTATAATCCCGAAAGATTTGACCCAAGCACTACGCCATGTGCAATGCCCTTTATTAAGGATGGTGAAATCGTAAGGGTTCCGAATTCAACGGTTTATACAGCTGTTCAAAACAGTTTACAAAACATTTTAGCGAATATCTTTAATTCAGAAACTACAGAAATAAAATTACCGTATATAACAGATGCTAAAGAAATTAAATCAAAAACAACAACATTATTTGCATCACTTAATGATTTAATGACTTATATAATTAATACTCCCCAGCCGACTACGGCATTTGATCCAAACTCGACGGTTTGCAGTGTACCTTTCATTAATGACAGTTCAGTAATTGAATTAAGGGATTCAACAGTTAATGAATCATTAAAGGCTTCATTAATGAAAATCATTGATTTTAACTCATTCATGAATACATATAATTCATTCATTAATGTTTCATACACTTCTAAAGAAGGTGAGCCAAAAACTATAGATAAAGCGGTGTATGAAATAAAAGCATCAATGACGAAATTGAATTCGTTAACTTTTGACGGTGATAGTTCCGTTAACAGCATGACATCAGGAAAAACGATTTTAACGAAAGAATATTTAAAATCTCATGTTAGTGTGTTCGTTGAAATTGAAAAAGAAGGTGGAATTAAGTTCGATCCACTGGGTTTCATTTTCGACTTAGCGAATGCGGGTGTTAGTTTCGCTGAATGGACAACTATACAGAGTGAGATAAACGCTATATGGACGTTTTTGGGGTCAAAAGCGGGAATGGGTGAGCTTGTAGATGCTGCAAGAACATTAGGTGAAACGGGAAATTTTGTGGATGGTTTTAAAAGACTTGTTTCAAATGTTTTAACAAACACAAAGAAATTATTTAGATATACCGTACATAACGGACAGATTTTCGAACAGGTAGCAACAAATCCTCCGGTTATGGCTGCGTTGATGATGGCTAGAGACATAAAGCCGCGTAGCGGCGAGGGCGAAGCCCACGAAGAAGAGGAGAAACCAGAGGATACGGGTCAGGTTATTCGAGACATTAAAAACGTGTATCCTGAAGTTATTGATTTATTTAGAGGTGTTAATGATTCGATTTCAAATCATTCTATAACCCTTGATGAAGAGAATAAATTAACAGATTATATATTCGTCATTATTGCAGAATTAATGAAGAGAATAAATGAAAAAGGTATAGCTGATATCATTAATGTAAGTGATGTAATGATGAAAAGAAATTTTGACTCATTATTTACAGAACCGAAAACAGAATATAGTCTTTATGACGTAATTACTGAATTAATGAAAAAGATTAATGATAATAAGAGTTCTGGCGGAAGAGTTGAATTAGAGGTGAATGATGTTAATGAGAAATTAGATAATAAAGCAGATAAAAACCCTGTTCATTATATAAGTTCAGATGAACAGATTATAACGGATTATCATGGATATTTAACACAGGATGAAGAAGTGAAGACGGAAGATGTTAATGAAAGAAGATATAAATTCATTCGTGCTGAAGGTTATGACATACGTTGTACTGTACAGTATGACACAGGTAAAGCACCAGAAGCATTTGGTTATAACAATGAAATTTATGCTTCATACTTCTTTGTTAACGGTGTATTAGTTGAACCAAGATTTATGTTGAGAGTTAAGGCAAAAATAACTTTTGAAGATGCTATTAAAAGTAAAGCTGACAAAGATGAACTTGACGCAACGAACAAAGTTTTGAAATCTCATAAACACAATATCTCCGATATAAATGAACTTCAAGCTACATTAAATAGTAAAGCTGATAAGAACCATACACATTAATCCTTCACTACTGTTAGAGCAGACGACATAATATTGAACTATACCCTTGGTTCAAGTGCACCTTTAGAGAATCCAAGTACAAGCGTAAAAGATACTCTTAATAGTTTAGATAGTAAATGTATGAACATTGAAGGTCGTGTCAGAAACTTTGAAACATATGAACTACCAGCAATGTTAGATAAAAAAGCAGATAAAGAACATACACATAACTCCTTCTCAACTGTTGCTATAGAAAGTATTGAAGGAACGGTTGGCGGAACTGGTGGGGATGCATTATATTATAAACCTCCTAACTTTCCACAAGGTTTAACATCGAATGAAAACATAACAACGAAGAAAGACATTAGCTGTAAAAATGTTTATGTCATGGATGATGAAAATAATGTTAAATTCGCTGCTCAAGATTTATATGATAAGAAAGCAGACAAAACTTATGTAGATGAAAAAACAGAATATGCTAAGAACAAAGCAATAGATTATACAGAAGAAGCAAAGGAATGAGTCAATGAAAATTATGTGAAGAAGTCAGAAGTAAATGATGCGGTTAATGGTAAAATTAATGAAAGATTTTCGAATATAGATTCATTAACAGTTAATGACATTCAATTACATCATCAATTACCTGGTCAAAAGAATGTGGAATATAATAATCTTACTCATGTTCTCGATGGTTTCGATGAATTTAGAACTGATGCAACAAATGCGATTACAAGCATGAAAAATGAAATATTGCAAGCTATATATCCTGTTGGTTCTTTATATACATCAATGAACTCAACAAATCCAGCAAGTGTTTTAGGTTTTGGTACGTGGCAGCAGATTGTAGATAAATTCTTATACTGTGCTAACTCTTCAAATCAAACAGGTGGTTCAAAGAAAATTTTAGAAGCAAACCTTCTACCGCATAAGCATACAGGAACTACAAACACAACAGGTAATCATTCACATTCAATAACAAAAAGATGTTATACAAATCTTGCAGCAGGTTGGGATAGACAGGGAATGAATAGATATGATATTTCAAGTGACCCAGTAGATTCAAGCGCAGGTATTTTCTGTGGAACCACAGGAAATCATTCACACACTTTCACAACAAATCCAACAGGTTCGGGTGCAGATTATATGCCACCGTATATTACAGTTTATGCATGGGTTAGAACGGAATGAAAGTCCTGAGCTCCAAAAGAGCGAACAGCATGAAATTTACTAAATTTATTTTTACATAAATGAGTTTAAAAGAAGTTTTCGAATCATCACCGTGGAGGTCATTTAAAAAATTCTATGAAGCTGCAAAGAATGCGGGATTTAATGATAGAACAGAAATTAAGAGATTTTATGATGAAAATATAGTTCATCAGGTTAAAGTTAATCCATACGACTACTACCTTCCCATTTATTCTAAAACCATGATGCATATCAATTTGATACACTCGTTCAGAGTAAGAAAGGAAGAAAGCCACCATTTTTGATTTTCATTAATGTTAATACACGTAAAGCTTTTGCGTATATAATGAAAAATAAAGGAACAAAAGAAGTTTTAAGAGTTTTGCAGACGTTCATGGCAGAACATCATCCCACTTCATTAACTTCAGACCAGGATTCAGCGTACCTTTCAAATGAAATTACAGAATTTTTGATTAAACATAACGTTACTCATTACACGACTGAAGACCATAAACATAATATTTTAGGAATCATTAATCGTTTCATTAGAACGCTAAGAGATTTAAATAAAGAAAGAGATTTTACGGAGGAATCAATGAATAAAGTTATTAATGCTTATAATAAATCAACTCATAACAGCACAGGATTTAAACCAAACGAAATGACTTCAAAAGAGGAGGATGAATACATAAAACAAAAGAGAATGTTAATGGAGGAAAGAAGAAGTTCATCATTACTGCCAGGAACTAAAGTTAGAATCATTCTTGAACATAAACCACATGAAAAGGTAAGAAATCAGTTAAGTGATGATTATTATATCGTTGATTCCTCACAGGGTAATGGTTATTTAATTAAAGCAGCTGACCATTCGGTTGCGTTTTATCCACGATTTCGATTAGTTGAAAGCGAAAATGGAAGATTAGCTAAGACGGTTGATGATGCAAAAAGAGGTATAGTTAATAAAATTGTGAGTTATGATGAAGACAAAGATGAATACACTGTCGTTTATGAAGGAGGTGTGGATGATAAAATTCCTTCTAGAAATTTGAGAGAATCGAACCCTACACATTTATCGGAACTCGAAAAGGATTACTGGAAGGATAAAAATAAGCCAAAATTAATCAAAAAATTTTTATGAACTAAATATATTTTATGTCTGTAATTAATTAGTTAATAAAGTAGCGGATGAACTGCAGAAATATATTTTATCGTTAATGTTTTCATTAATGTTTCGTAAATGTTTTCAGTGTCACCACGTCACCATGTCACCAGGTTAATTAACTTCTTTTAAAAATGATGACAACATGACATTTAGACAACAGCCCCGAAAATAAATTTTATCGTTTATGTTTTCGTAAATGTTTTCATTAATGTTTCGTAAATGTTTTCAGTGTCACCACGTCACCATGTCACCAGGTTAATTAACTTCTTTTAAAAATGATGACAACATGACATTTAGACAACAGCACAGGAAATAAATGTTTTCGTAAATGTTTACGTTAATGTTTTCATGAATTTTATATATTAATGTTTTCGTTTATGTTTTCATACATTTACACCAAAAATATATTTTAGTTGAAAAGGTTAGATATAACCCGATTTATACCCTCATTTCTACCCTCATGAATTTTCATGAATTTTATATATTAATGTTTTCGTTAAGCCACTTTGTGCCGTCAGTCAGTCAGTCAGTTAATGAAATTTACACCAAAAATATATTTTAGTTGAAAAGGGTAGATATAACCCGATTTATACCCTCATTTCTACCCTCATGAATTTTCATGAATTTTCCCGAAATAAAAAATAAAGTTAGTTTTTATTTTATTTTTATTTTTTATTTTTATATAAATATGATTACAAAAATCGAAACATCCGCACTTTCGACATCAACGGCACCAAATTCATTAGTCATGAATCCTACGTCAATGTTAGTAGAAATGAAAAACTTCATTCCTTCTTCATTTACTTTCGAAACAGAAATACAAAAAATTAAGCAGGAACTTTTAACAAGTAATTTAGACTGTAGCGCGAAAGATGAAACAAATGGAGAGGAGTTATATGAAATGCAAGATATCATAGACCATTTACCTAAATTACCTGAAGTTCAGCAACAGAAACTAACTATTCCTGAATTCGATGAAATTGAAGTTAAAGTTAGTGATTCTGCAGAAATTAAGAAATTCATTCGTAAGGTAAATTCTGAATTCTTAGGTTTTCATTGTAACCACAAAGTTATGGATAAAGACTGCGACATGATTTATAAAAACATTTCAGATATTTATAAATCTGAGGAATTTAAGACATACGATAACTTTGTTTCATTAGCTGCTCAATGTGTGTGGGAGATTAGAGATAAAGACAGAAGAGGTAAAGTATGGCATGAACAGATAAAACCAACTGCTTCAGATTTAAAGAAAGCCATTGATGCTTTAGTTATTTTAGCAGGTAAGGTTTCAGAATATAACGCAAAAATGAATCCTCAGTGTTCGAAATGTAAAGCAGCAATTAGGAAATATAACTATTCAGTAAAAGAGATAGAAAGAATGAGAAACGATTACGAAGATTTAAAGAGGGAGGCAGAGAAACCAGCAGAAAATAAAATGAACATGTTAGAATTTCTGAATAAAAACTATCCCACAGCCGATGATTTCCTTTTATCTGATGTCAAGAAGAAGTATAAAGAAACTTTCGGTATCGTTAAAACTTTTGATATATTAACTGAAGAAATAGAAGCTACAAAAATATTTAAAATTTCACGAATTCATAACGTATATCATGTGAAACGTTTATAAAATAACTGGGTAGAAATGAGGGTAGATATCGGGTTAGATCTAACCTTTTCAACTAAAATATATTTTTGCTTTAATTAAATGTTTTCCGGAAACGTCGATGAAAATCATATGGACAAATTATATGAAAAAATTAATAATGATTACCCCTCATTAACCAGGGAAATGACGGATTCTATAGTTCGTAAATTCGATGAAATACAGGATATGTGGTTCGATAGATTCGACATGAACGATAAGGAAAAGAGAAAGAACGATAACAATTTACTTACTAAAAGAATCCTAAAATCTAAAATAGGTGAAGCTTCAGCATTTAATACAGTACATAACTTTTACACCGCTGTTTATATTTTCAATAATTTATTTAACGATGAACGAGAAAGAAAAGAAATGTTTAACGGAAGAAATGAATATGATTTTATCCTTTGTGCTGTTCGGGATGTTGACATGAAACTAAAGAAAATATTCTTATTACAAAATGATACCGTTAAGATGAAGTCAATGAGTTTTTAAATCGTGATTTAAATGAAATTGATGAAGTTATGACCGAATGTTATAAAAAGTTCAAGGGGTAGATATCGGGTTAGATCTAACCTTTTCAACTAAAATATATTTTTGGTGTAAATTTTACTGACTGACTAACTGACTGACCGTAACTAATTATTTACAAAAATAATTCATAAATGCCTTCCTCCTTTCGTACCTGTTGTCTAAATGTCATGTTGTCATCATTTTTAAAAGAAGTTAATTAACCTGGTGACATGGTGACGTGGTGACACCTTCAGTTATTCAAAAATAAATTTTCTTATAAAGCTTCAGGGTCTATTTCCTCAATCATTTCCGTTCCTTCTTCATCATATTCAATCGTTGCTTCCTCAATTACTGGTAGGAGCTTATTGATTATATCTTTATTCGTTATTGTCTTCAGAGATGAAGGATAATATTTCACAACTACTTCACTTGGAGGGCTCTTTGAGCCCATCTCGGCGCCTTGCGCCTTCTTGAATTCTTTCTGCTGCGATAAATCTAAAACAATGCTGAAAAATTCAACGTTAGAGTTCTTCATAATCGTATAATGTGTATCTTTGATATTTACAAATATTCCTTTCTGTTTAAGTAATACTGCTATTTCATGTGGTGTGTAACGTTTTCTGTCAATAATGATAGCGTATGGTTTAACGAACTGACCGTATTTAGATTCTTTCACAGACTTTTTATTGAATATAACGTTCACGTTTTTTCCATTTATGAATTCACCCTTAACAGCAGTAGCGAGAGCATTGTATGAATAGAACTTGTACTCAGACATTATTTTATTAAAATTAAAAATATAAATTATTTTAAAAAATTAAGTTTATTTTTAAATTATATTTTTTACGGAAAATATTTTTTTTTATTTTCCATAAAAGATGTATAAAAAGCTATCTAGATTAGACCATGAAGAAATTAAGAAGTTATTGAAGAATGCTGGCATTGAAGTTAGCAAAAGATATGCGACTAACAAATCTTCATTAGCTAAATACCTCAATGATTACAGAGGTGTAGTCACTTACGAGAAAATTAATGATTACATTAATAACAAAACATTTCCTTTAAATGATGTTCAGGTTAATTTATATCATAAACAAGCGGTACCGAAGGAAGTAAGAAAAGAAATGTATGATATAACTAATGTTAATGTAGGTGAAACGAGAAAGAAGAAAAGCGATGAAGAAAAGAAAAATATAGCTGTAAAGTATGCAAAAGCAATTGCACAATTACGCAAAGCAAACGAAGTTATTAAATCTATAGACGATAAAGCTCTTGATGACGAAAAATGGTTAAAGAAGGATGAAAATAATAAATGCAAAAATGTTAAAGCAGGAAATAGAATCATAGATTTTAATATTCGTGAACTCAATGAAGAAAACAGAAATTACCTACATGAACGTTTCGGTAAAATGTTTATTAGGCTTCTGCAGAAGATAAAAGTAAATTCACAGCAAAAATGGATGATTTGTTATAAACTCGATGGTAAATTTACTAATTCAACATTGAATATCGAGAACATCGGAGCTTTGCTTCATCAGTTAAAGCAATAAAACTTTATAACAGAGATTGAAGCAAACGCAGCCGGAATAATTGAAAAACATTATGATTTCTTCATGACAAATATTAAGAACCTCGAAGAAATTAAAATGTATGATTTAACTGAATATGAAGGATTAACGATGAGCGATATTAAGAAAGGTAAGCCACAGAAGAGAGAAAAAAGAGATGAAAGCAAATTAACAGCACGTCAGCAAAGATTATTAAACAGACTTAAAGAAATAGGAGATAAACAGGATATAGATGATTTTTGGAATGAAATTCTTGATGAAAAGAGAACGAATAAAAAGAGAAGTGGAGAGTTTTGGAAGTATCTTTGCAGATTACCTATAAATCTTGAACGCTATCAAATTTTCAATGAACTTAACAAAAGAACTGCTAAGTTGATGACAGAAGATAACTGCTTCGTTTATGCTTGCATTCAGGCTGGAGTTGATGAGCAGACGGTAGACCACATGCGTGAAGTTATTAGAGTTAGAGATTTTCCACAAAGTAAGATTCAGGAAATTTCTAACGCAACAGGCATAGCATTTAATGTTACCATTGGTTATTTCAATGACTCTAGACATAATGAAATAAAGAGATATATACCAAAAGAATGTGAAACTGTTCGAACTATTGACTTACTTCTTGTTGAAGACCATTACATGTTAAATGAAAGATTACCTATGACAACATATTTTATCATAAATTATAACGAAATTCTCAAATCATTAGGCGGCTGGAATATTGAGCGTCAAATGAAAATATATAAGAAAAGGGAAAATAGATTTGTTATTGATTCTACGCGAACAACTCCTTTATGGGATATTTTGAAAACATTAAGAGAGTGCAATTACTTTGAACCGTTATCTTATGGTGAACTTTTCACTTATACAACAGATTTATATAAACAAAAACTTGCACCGTTTAAAGATTTAAATTATACCCCGAACTACTGTGTTCAGTTAAAGAAAAAGTCTGAAAGTAAAGATAGTGATAAATCAAAACAAAAATTCATTCCTGAACACATTTTCTTCGCTGACTTTGAATGTAGCACTGATGGAGTTCATAAAGCCTTTAACATTTGTTATGATAGTGAAGATGGAAAGATTAGCGAAAGCATTTGGGGTCAAAATTGTGCAACAAAATTTTTAGAAAGAATTCCTGATAAAAGTTTAATATATTTTCATAACCTCAGTTATGATATCAATTTCATTTTAAGACATTTAACAGAAATTAGCGGAACACCAATTATTAAGGGTTCTAGAACAATGCAGATAACGGGAATATATAAAGGTAAAGCAATCATTATTAAAGATTCATACACTGTTATAAATAAGAAGCTTAAACTATTTCCTGAAATGTTTCATTTGCAGTGTGGTGAAAAGGAAGTATTTCCGTATCAATATTATTCAAGCTCTTTATTAGTTAATGATAACAAAACTGGCGTAATTTCTGAAGCGTGTAAGTTTGTAAAAGATATTGAAACGTTCATGAAAAACATAGATTTAATCGAAAACTGCAGAATAGATGAAAACCATTTCGATTTAGAAAAATATAGCTCATTTTATTGCAAACAGGACGTAAGGATTTTAAGAGAAGGTTTTGTTAAGTTCAGAAATGATATATTGAAAGAGTTTGATTTAAACGTTTATGATTACGTTAGCATTTGTTCAATCGCTAACAAACTTTTCGAAAACAGAGTATATTTCCCGAATGGAAATTTATATGACCTTTCAAATAAACCAAGAGAATTTATTTCACGCTGTATTCAAGGTGGAAGATGTATGCTGTCAGATAACATGAAACAAAAGAGCGAAAAGAAACTCATTGCTGACTTCGATGCTGTTTCATTATATCCCTCAGCTATGCGAGACTTTATACTTTAGAAGGAATTCCAAAGGTTATGAAGAAAGAAATGTTAAACAGTGAATATTTGTTAAAACATTTATTCGATGATGACCAGGGCGAGCCTGAAGGTGAGAAATTCATTTCCGGATTCTTTGTTTTAATAAAAATAACCGAGATTAAGATTAAAAGGCACTTTCCATTAATAACAGTAGATCCAGAATTAAACCCGGAGCTAAAGGTTCCAAGAAGTTCTAACACATGCTGTTTAATGTATGTGGACCACATAGCTTTGCAGGATTTAATAAAATATCAGGGCATCAGCTGCGAAGTATTACAGGGTTACTACTACGATGAAAAAAGAGATTTTAGAATAAGAGATGAAGAAAGAAATTGTTTGAATTGAGATTAAAGTATAAGAAGGAAGAAAATCCGCTACAAGAAAATATTAAATTAATTTTGAACAGTATTTATGGAAAAACTATTTTGTCCCCGATAGAGTCGAAAATTAAAATCATTGATGATAAAGATGCTGTTAGGTATGCCATCAGAAATTATAACCATATCATTAAATTTGAAGGTTTAGATGGTTCGGATAAAACTATTTTCAAACTAACTAAAAGCATTTGCAGACACTTTAACTTTTGCCCCTTAGGTGTTAATATCTTATCTATGTCGAAACGTATCATGAATGAAGTATTTTGCACTGCTGAGGATATGGGCTTAAATCTTTACCAGGACTGTGATAGCATGCATATTTTCAATGAAGACATACCACGTTTAGCTCGGGAATTTCAGAAAAGATATGGTCGTGAATTAATAGGAAAGAATTTAGGTCAGTTTCATTCAGATTTTGCAGAAATCACAAAAGATAAACAAAGTTTAGCTTACAAGTCGATATTTTGTGGAAAGAAGACTTACATAGACCTTTTAATAAATGACATTGGTGAAGTTGCATTTCATGCACGTATGAAAGGCGTAAAACAAGATGTCATTGCTTTAACCGCTAACGAAATGTTTCCTGACGCAGTACAATGCTATTATAATGAAGATAAGAACATTCATATTCCTGTTGGAAAATATGATAAAGATTCTGAGTTCAGTATAATGAAATTATATCAAGCCCTTCACGGGTCAGGAAATCGCATTTGATTTATGCAAATCAACAGCACCCTGTTTTGAAGAGAAGTTTAACTTTTCAATAACGACTAAAAATACTTTCATAAGGAAATTAAAGTTCTGAAGTCATAAATGATATAATATATTTTTATCGTTCAAGACAAAAATAAACTTTTCATATTAAATTATGTAAGCGTTTGAATTTACTATATGTAATGCACGTTCTTTTTCCATTACATCATAAACGTTAACATATAATGAACCATTTATGTTTTCATTAATGTATAGTTCTTTATACTGACGACCGTTATAATAATAAAACAAATCTGCATTGATGTCGTAAAATAAATCCTCAAATTCATGATTTCCATAATGTGAAACAGTAATTGAATTTTCACTGATTTCATCAACGAAATTATATTCTACTCCATTTGCTTTACTTCTATTTCTATTATTTGTAGAACTTGAACACCAAT